TCTTTTTTATGTCCTCTGGTCACAGCATAGCTCTCGCTCACAGTTTCTGCTACCGCTCAGTGGCATTTGGGAAATGCCAAGAAGGTGGGTCACAAAACGTGCACCACATATATCCTAATTCCTGCGGGTCCCTGAGTTGTCGCCCTGTGTTTCTTTGTGTAGGGTTGAGTGCTGCTGCCAGGCCTTCCAGGGGGTAGCTGGCGTCCTGATCTTCTTATGCTTGACTGAGTGGGGCTTGACAGGGTTTCAGTCAAATCTTGAGCAGGTCAGTGTGACACATTCTTTGAGGTGCAACAATTCGGATGTGAAAATTCTGATTGTGGCAGTTTTGTGGCAAGGCTGGAGCATTGTCTCTAGCGTGAATCTTACCTGTATAATGTGCGTCTGAGCATCAGATGCCCGCAGTGGTCTGGCAGGTGAAGTCAGCAGCATGGGTGGGGACCGGGGCCAACGGGAGGGCACAGACCCCATGTCTCTAGCCTGTGGCAACCGTGGGATGGGGGCCCAGTGTGGTCCACTTGTAAGCTTTTTCAGAGATGTTGGACATCCGCCCTTAGATATGTCATTTTCTGGGCTTTTAATGCTGGTAACTAATTCATATGAGGAAAGAAGGGAGGAAGAGAGGGTGGGAGGTGGAAGAGGGGAGGAAGGAAAGGAAGGGAGAGGAGGAGGGAGGGAAACAATGTTTGAGCTGAACAAAACAGGCCACGGGTTTGATTTATCCCGTGATCACCAGCCTGTAACCTCCATTCTTGAGAATGAAAACTTGTGTGAGACAAGCGGGTATTTAGTATTTTTTTGGGGGGGGATATGTTTTCCCTTTTATGGTACTTTAATGTTTGTATGCAAAGCTTAAAACTCGACAGCAAGATATTAAACCTTCGTGGCCACTTAATCTTCCTGATTGGATCAGATGTAACAAGTGCTGGAAAGCAGATGCTGCCCGTTGTTCTAAAATGTCTTCTTCTATTTTCTTTATATTATTAGCTTTAAGTATTCTTCTGAACGCACTCACCACCTCCATGCAGTTAAGCTGGTTCAATTTAAACATTGTCATAAAGTTAATTTTTTATAAGATGAATCAGGTTATTAAATTTAGTAAACCATTGCTTTCATTATTTTGCACAAACTTTGGCACTCTGCAGAATTGGATCAGCACTACTACATTTAGCTAATTAAGCTGGTCATCAGCCGTGGTATTAGGAGCATGAGGGACGCTATTCTCAGGTATTAGGAGCATGAGGGATGCTATTCTACCTACTTGAGCAGTAGGTAGCATTATTAAACTTTTTTTTTCTTTTCTTTTTCTTTCTTTCTTTTTTTTTTCCTTCATAAAACTCCACACTCTAGAGATACGGTTTACTAGGAGAGTGTTATTGTCCTTCCTGTTAAACCTTCATCTTTTGAAATATCCATGCTTTGGTTTTGGCTCCAAAGGCACTTGTAAAGGATAAGAAAATGGAGCTATCTCTCACAGCTTTTAAAAGGAGACCCGCAACGTGTAACGTGTTGCTCAGATAAGGGAAGACGTAAGAGCCAGAGGGTCATTTTATGCGACGCAGGTAGATGGCTGAACTGTAACCACAGGCAGGGATTCTGTGAAACAGAGAGGGTGCAGACTTGTGGCTGCAGCCTAATGCTGTCATCACGTCGGGCGCCTTCCTTTTTGTAATAAAAAGTCCTTTGCCGTAGGTCATTTTGTCAACTGAGATAGTGTGACTTAAACAGGTTTGTTTGGGAAGATAAATTTTTTTTTTTTTTAAGGATTTTATTTATTTGACAGAGAGGGACACAGTGAAAGAGGGAACACAAGCAGGGGGAGTGGGAGAGGGAGAAGCAGGCTTCCTGCCGAGCAGGGAGCCCGATGTGGGACTCGATCCCGGGACCCTGGGATCATGACCTGAGCCGAAGGCAGACGCTTAACGACTGAGCCACCCAGGCGCCCCTGGGAAAATAAATTTTGATAGGAAACGGACATGCTCTTCCCCACGGATTTCTAGCTGGTGTCATTCAAAACCGCTGTGAGCCCTGTCTTTGCAGGATCTTAATAATTATTCATTGTTAAAAAAGGAAGTCAGAGGGCCATCAATGTTGTTTGAAACAACTTGGATTGTTTTGCAGTAGTCCCGAATTGTAGCCTATGAACAACCTATACGACCCTGGCAGGTATTTGTTGAATCCCACTGGGTGTTAGTCCCATGGGACACAGGAATCAAAAAGGCACAGATTCTAAGGAGTTTATATTTGAACTTCTAAATTCAATAGATGGAGCCTCGGGGTCAGCCTGGCCCTGCATTGTCTCCATGCCCTCTCGGCCCCTTAAAAAGATGGTTGCTAACGAATGACCAAGCATTGTGTCCGCCATCTTTCCCAACATCATTTTTTTTTTCTTTTTCTATCCTCTGATGAAAATGTGATGAAAAATATTATTGATAATTGCTCTGACCTGGACATTTCACAGGCACGCAGAGTCCACCATCTCAACAAGATCTTCTGGGAGTGCAGGTGAAGTCATTTTTGGCCACTTCACGTGCCCTCCATATGGCCGTCAGCATTTCATTAGTCTGATTGATGTAGCACATCAGTCAGCAAGATTTCGTCCTATGCCTGTCCCCATCCACCCCCTCTGGGCTACAAAACCTGGTGTTTTACTTCTTGCCTCAAGAAGATACAGCTTCAGCCTGCTTTCATTACATACACCAAGGAGGTTGCAAACTGATGTAGATGTTAAGTATTTCAGATTGGAATTCCTTTGGGCATCATGTTAGCATCAGATTCAAGTATAGGATGTTGTCCTTAGATAATGGTAAAGTGAATATCTCGGGATATAGAACTTGGCATTATCTGAAAAATAACTCAAGTTATCTCAACAGTGAAGTTCACGTGTGTTCCAGAGCCAATATTCACACAAATGGAATGGTGGGTCTTGTAGCTAATTTCTTCAAATTCTGGTTGATATTAAAGCCAGTCAGCTCTTGGGTTGCTGCTGGGAGCAGATCGAGGAGAGACTGTTAACTTTTCAGTTGTAATGACTGTGCTGTATTTGATAGATCATACAAATCACAGAGGAGACACAGGAACTTTACACCAAAGATATTGGAAAGAATGGGAATTAACACTTGTTTTCCACCTACTTTTGTTATATTAGGCTCTTAGTGTAAGTTAACTACTTACTCCTCATTTTAAGAAAAGATCTCTGAGTTTCTGATGGGGTTAAAGGCATAGTCCACAGCTTATAAATAGCTAGAGCTGGGGTCAACATTGGTATGTCAAACTCCTGAGTTTGAGTTTCCCACTGTGATCTGTGCTGACTTCCCCCGAGAGCTAGTTTATATAAATAGACTGGCCTCCATGAAGATTAGATATATGGAAGATATGAACTTTGCTAGACTCTTTCACATGGCAATCTCCGTAAGATAATGGTACTCTGATTTTGCGTACATGTAAACAGTATCTTGGAAACAGTCATCTGCGGTCATTTGACATGGCTTTGGCTGAATCACATTGCTGCTCCCTCTAGTAGGACTGATTGGTTTGTTGTTTGGTGCAGTCGTGTGGTCTTCCATGCAGCTTACAAGAGGTGCCTGAGAGCAGTGGTGTAGGCTTTAGGCTCTGGAATTAGACTTTATAAGAGTTCTAGTTGTTCCACATTCTTGCCAATGTTTGGTCTGGTCATTTTAATGTTTAGCCATTGTAGTAATGGGAATGTAGTAGTATCTAATTGAATCTTTTTAATTTTATTATTATTTTTTTAATCTCATTGTCTCTTTACACTTCCCTAATGACTAAAGAGTTTGAGGCTTATAAAACAGTTGAGTTTTTTTTGCTTTTTCTATTATGTGGAAGAATTTTTGGAAGATAGGTGTTTTTATTTTCTTAAATGTTTGGTAGCCTTTCTGTTCAAAACATGGATCCAGAGTTTTCATTTTGAGGCTTTTCTTTAAATATATAGAATTTTTCCTAGATTATGCATTGTTATTATCAACAGAGTAATTCTATGTATTCCAAAATTTGCAAGCTATTATTGTTATCATTTCGATTTTTCCATAAACTTACCTTTGTGTTACTCTTTGTTACTTTCTGCACCTCCAGATTTCGAGGGTCGTTTTCCTCCTGCTTGAATGTCTCCTCTCGGCCAGATCTGGCCATAGATGGTGACATAGCCTCTCAGCTTTTCCTTTGTCTTGTTTGGTTTGTTTAAAAATTTGTTCACCTTTACTTTTGAAGAATACCTTCACTGGGCACGGCAGCACCAAAGCTGGCTCATCTCTCTTGGCTTTCCGCTTTTCCAGGTCCCCAAATCCTCAGTCATAGTGTCCCTCTGATGCCTTCAAGGATGTGTGCATGTGTGTGCATGTGTGTTGTTTGGTCTAGCTCTTCTAATTGTTCTCAGTGGGAGGGTGGGTGTAAGAACCCCAGGCTGCCATTTTTGGATGCGTGTAGCACAGTGCAGAGTGCATTGTCCAGAATATAATAAAAGTGTTGTATGTTTGTTTTCCTTTGCAGGTCTCTTTTTTCTTATTATAATGAGTGTGAACTCTTCAAGGGCAGTGGCCATGTCTGAGTCTTTATACTTCCTTATTCTTTATATTTAACACAGGATCTTCTCATTAGGCGGTTGTTATATATGGTGGACTGTGCTGTGAGCTCTCCTATGGTTTGTCCTACGCCTTGGGGATGGTGTGTTCCTGGGCTAGGTTTTCTCAACCTCAACAGTGTTGACACTTCAGGCCAGATGATTCTTTGTTGTGGGCACTGTCCTGTGCTTTGTAGGGTATTTTGTAGCACCCCTGACCTTTACACACTAGAGGCCAGTAGCACCCTGTCCCCAGTCATGACCACTGAAAATGTCTCTAGACATTTGCAGCTGTCTACCAGGGGACAGATTGCCTCTGGCTGAGAGCCGCTGGGGCACTGTGCGCGGTGCTCAACAAAGGCCCTTCAGGTGAATCAGTGTTTTGCATTGTGTCTTCTAATGTTGACTTTCCTTTAAACCATAGGGTTTGAAACTGCCAAGTCTTTTGCCCTCCATGGTGCACACGTGATCCTTGCCTGTAGGAATGTGACAAGGGCCAGTGAAGCTGTGTCACAGATTTTAGGAGAATGGGTAAGTAAGCCCTTGACCATTTTTTTTTTTTAATTGTCAAATACACATGCTGGGATAAACACATGGAGGTTTTAGTGCAGTGCATAAAGTTTATTGCTCTTCAAATAACGTTTTCTTTATTTTTAAAGTCATATTAGCTGTGTTTATTTTATGAATGAAAGGACAGGCAAGCCTGTATCCATACATTGTTTATGGTTCATTGTCAATGTCATCTGCTTTATTAGTCAGAGGTTTGAGAATGTTCACTCATTCCTCTCATTTATTAAGAAAATAAAATGTGGTTAACGCCCATGCATACACCTAAGAGTTTGTTATACTAATGGTTTTTAAGATTGGAAGGGGGTGGGCTTTAACCCTCTGTTTTTTACTTTTCACTTTTCTCTCTCTGCGTGGATGTTGGTGCTGATACGTCTGTGCACAAACATTTATCGAAGGCCTGCAGTACTCTTGAGGCTGAGGATGTAGCATATCAAACAGAACAAAATCCCTGCCCTCCCTTGGGCTTACTGTCTAGGTACAGAGAAATGGACCATAAGGGATAATTAGATTTAATATTTAACACCCTGCCGGATTGTTATAAATGCAATGAAGCACAGTGAAGCAGAGAGATGGATGAACAGTTACAGTGTGGGCTATTTTAGTTTGACATAGGGCAGAATCTTAGCAGTGGACCCGTTGATTCAAAGGGTCTTTGTATTTAAAATCTTGGAAGCAGCTTCCCAGTAGTCGTCTGGTGGGATCGGAGTGGTTTCCATCCCCACTGTCAACGAGGAAGACGACCGTTATCTAGCAACAGATAGGGTCAAACCTGTACCATTTTGCCCATCTAGTGTTAGACTTAGACTGGACAAAATGGAATTCAGTGGCCCTAGTGATAATGTAAGAGCCATGTTGTACGATGATAGGAATATTTAAACCAGTCTTGGAAGGTAATACTAAAACATAAATGTTTATGCATTTTAGAAATGATCTTCTTCCTTCCTTAGGTACGAGCACACGTACATCTCCATTTAACCCATTATCACCATTGTTTGATGCAGAGAGGCAGCAAGTCTTGGGTGTTCCCTATTGACCTGTGGGGCCTCAGCGAGCCTTTCAGTCTGTTTTGTGTCTCCCATTTCCTCACCTCTGACGAAGAAGGTCGAATGGCCTGAGCATGAAGACCCACCATGTAGTTTCTCTTTCTTGCATTTGAAGGCATACTCTGGTGTCTGGGAGTCAGTCCCAGGTGACACGTGCATCCTTGCCTGCGTTCAGTCTACAGTATCCGTTACTTGACGTCGCCTGGCCAGCCGTGCTCCCAGAGAAAGAGTTACCCCAAAACACTCGCTGTCAGACACATGAGTGAAGGAAATGGGAACTAATACTCGCATGGCATTTCAAACATTTAAATCAAATTTTGTAGGTTGAGACTAATCTCTTTATCATGTCTCATGTCTTTGCTTCTTCCCTGTGAGCACCGTTCTACCATTTCCTCAGCCCCCTTGACTATGATTGTGGAAGCTCAAGTCTGGTGCCCAAAGCCGGTTCGTGTTGTCGCACTGTCTGCAGAGTGTGAGGTGTCTGCAAACCTGCCTTCGTGATCTGCGTGAGCCCCCTCACTACCCCACCGTCAGGGAGTGCTGGGCTGGCTTCCTGCAGGCCCTTCCCTACCTCATCTCTGTGCAGGCACTTAATCTGGCACATCATTGAATACCCCCTTCTTGTGTTTCTCAAGGTCAATTCGATTGACTCCAGTTTTTCCAGCTGCTAGCCAGCTTGAGCATGTTCATACTCTATCTGGGATGAATCCTTTCAGTAGCAGAGCCAGGAAGGTACTGCAGCATATTGGCGCCTCATGGGAGACTTGAAATGATCCAGAGTTTTTTGTTGCAGCAAAAGCGCTCTCCGAAGTCTGTGGGCTGTTTGGCTCAGCGTTGGCTTGCATGTGCCAGGGCTCGGTGGGCATTCTCAGCTTGGCTCTGGAGATGGAGTTCATGCCTCCTTCCCCAACTTGTTCTTTCCTGCCTGGTCTTTGCTTCCCTGCCTTCACGGCTCTTTCTAGAATTGCCGTGTTCCAGAACCTTCGTGTCTGCCTCCAAGCCGGTGGGACATTATTCTCACGGTCACCAGGGGGCATCTCACAACCACCCTTTAGTGAGTCCCTGTCATGTGCTGTGTTCCAGGTGAGGCACTTTATATCCCTGTTCAGGAGATGCAAAAGCCTGGTTTCCTCCTTTTTACAGAAGAGCCAAGGGAGGGCCCAGAAGGGTGAAAGGACGTCCCAGAGTCCCACATCTGATAAGCCCGGAGGCAGGTTTCTGGCACAGTTTGTCCATCTGGCCTCCAAACCCAAAGTCTGTCTACTTCATGGCCGGCTTGTCTACCACATTCGGCATCACGCATGTTTGTGACCTTTCAGGCTTTGCTTTCAGAATTGCTAGATGCTATCTGAGAGATTAATTTCAGGATTAACCCTAATTTCTCACAGGGAGCAACACTGATGTACCTTATTGTTCTAAGCAATCCCTTTTCATTCAAGACATCCTTTAGAGTTCTCAAACCAGTTTTGGGGGGGATCTAGCTATTTAGTAAAATACAACTTAAATGAAAATACATTCCATATGGAATTATATTAAAAGCCTATATGTAATTATGACTACTAATAATTATTTCATGGGAAAATGCCCTCCTGCTGAGATGTTTTGGTTGCTTCAAAGTTAGTAATAAGAATTGAAAACAATTAAAATTGGATAACATGGACAATATAGAAGTAAACTACCCTCTTAAAAGGCCAATCGATTTAGCATAGTTTAAAAAGGAGGGACAGGAGGGAGGCCCATCATTCCCCATTTGTATTTAAATGAAGTATCTCTGGAACTGGGGTTCAGTACCTGTGTTGTTAAGCAGTCCTCAGGAGGATGTGATCTACCTCATTCGTGTCCTTAAGTGGATTACGGACTAGTGTCCCCTCCCTCTAAGACAGGAACCTGATTTTTCCCTAGGTATGCCAAGGAGCCCATATGGCTGGCTGAGTAGGAAGTTTACTTTCCTCTTTTCAGGATCAGGTTGATTCTCTTTCATTTAGCAGCACTGTCTGGCTGTTAAGATTCCATGTAAGTTCTCTACGTTTGGGACACTGGTAGATTTGTCTGAGTCCCTGCTGTGCTGTGTGGTTGATATTTTCCTTTCCAGTAAGTATTTATCCAAGGCAAGTTTTGTTGCTGTGTTTATGGAGGTATGGCCCGTCCCACTCTCCATCCTGAAATCTGAGGACTCCAGGGGGATCTTATGCAAAGGACAATAGTTGATCAGGTATCAAAATGCACTTTATAAACAGCTACAACAAGACTCCAGCAACTCAATGTTGAGCTCTTAGAAGGCCTAAGGGGGGGCTCCTGCTTCCTCTCTGTTCTCTCACCTTGTGACCGTTCCTGATTTTTAGATTCTTAAAACTTGGGAACTAAAGCTTCTGGTCCTGGGGAGCAAGGAGGTTGAATAGAACTAAAGCAGCTGGGCCTGAGGTCACCTGCTTACCTACCAGTTGTGTACAGGATAAAAAGGGGTGGGGCCATGGCTGGGGTTGCTGGGGGGGGTCAAAAGAGTGGGGGACTCCAGCCTGCCTCCCATGTGCCAGGCCCTTACTCAATCTGCTTATCATGTAAGAGACTCCACATATAGGGGCTGCCCGTTAGTGAAACATGGGGCCCAATGAATGTTCAGAAGTTCTAGCATCTACTAGAGATGGAGATAACCAACCAGGTGGGCAAAAATGGCCTGGCCTGAGAAGAGGGGCTGATGGCCCTCCCTTGGAGTTATTATATGACCCACTCCTCATTCCTCAGAATGTGGCTTGGAGCTGTTCCCCTGTCATAAGGGAGGAGTGACTCAACTATGTTTAGTTTGGTGAGAAGCTTTGGTCCCCAAGGAAGACTTCAAGCCCATGCTTTTCTAACTTATGTTTTTAACTGGCCTAGACTTCAGGTCTTCCTAGAGACTGCTTGACATGCTCTTGGCCAGGAGAATGCAGCAGGGATCCAGCTCAGCAGCTCTCGTTTTCTCATGGGTATTTTAGCCAAGATTCCCAAGAGGTCTAGAGAAGGCAGGCTGGGTGGTCTTCACGATGCCTCCTGGGCATAGATGTCCCTTGATGGGGCAGATCATGTCCAGCTGATGACCACTGCTATAAAATATGCTTTGTTATAATGGCGAAGCTTAGAAGCAAATACATCCTATGACCTTGGGTGAGTTTCTTCTCCAACCATGGTGTCTTCATCTATAAAATCCAAATAATAATATCTATGCCAGGAGACCTAAGTAGCTGTGAGTATTAAATGCATTGACCGTATGTATGTGTGGTATTTAACATGTTGCTGGGGGTAGATTGAGTATTCAATTTTGTCTGCTGCTATTAATAAGAATAATAATAATAATTTATTTGTACACGAAGGTACAAGGAATGCTTACTCTTCTTAACCTGCCCAAGTGGCTGCAAGAGGAGCTGTAGGGAGGATGTTTATCAGCATGATTCAGATGGGGTTGCAATGAATTCTTTCTCTGTCTTCCTGTGTCTGGACTCTTACGTTTTATTAGATGTGTATTTAGTTTGTTGATTAGTATTTTCCAGTGTAGCTCATATTAGCACTCAACTGTCATTTGAAAAGCCATCTTAATTATTTATGAGATTGCTTTTTTTTTTGTGTTTACAAAGAAATACACTTTGCATATATTTAGGAAAGATGATTAAGGGATCAGTCATCAGGAACAGCTAGCGATGGCTTATACCAGAATGGTTATTGAGAAAGCAGGGAGATGAGGGGTAAAAAGAAAAGATTTATTAGTCAGAGGTAATGGGATATGCATGTGTTAGGGAGAGCGCATGCCCGGTTGATTGTAACCACGCAATTTGATGTTGGCGGGACTGAAGTGTCATAATTATTCCCGTCTTCGATAGAGTTGATACCGGGGCTGTTTATCTCGTTGGAGGGAAGGCATGTGGAAAGCTAATGGTATCACATCAT